TTCTTAGCTTTATGATATCTGATATATTTCCCAACTTCACTAGCTAACTATCATAGCACTATGATACCACATTAAATTTTTCCTGAATGTTATTGTTACTTAAATATATACAAACATAAAACTTAAGTACAGGTTCCTTAAGCTTACAATGCTTATGTAATTATAAAACAAAAACAAATTTAGAAATTAAATATCAACAAACTACAAAACCAAGAAACAGCAAATTAACAATTTAAATGTGGTCAATGTCAATGTTCTCCTCAAAGTATCATATTTGCTGGTATATAAAATATAATGCTGTATATGTGCATAATGCATTGCAGTTTTATGGAGGAATTTTTGGGAAAAAAGTGCTTTTTACAATGTAATAAATGTGTTACACAGACTATTATTTTGTTCAAATAAATACAGTATATTACAGTATGAAAGGAAGTCCTCAGTTCTGATAACACAGTAACATTGTACTAACCTTGAATAGAAATATAGTGTCACATAACTGAAAAGAAATATAGTGTTATAAATGAGTACTGACAAACTGGTGGCAACAAAACCAGGAAATTTACTGGAGCTAAAGTCCTATATCATGCATATTAATGTAAAGGTAAAATTAATATATTAATATTTCACTGAATTTAGGAGGTCTAAAAAGTAAACCATAATATACAATAAATTTGAATGGATTTCTTTTATAGGTAGCGCTGGTACATATACACATATAAGCAAATGTTTCAGTGAAAACTGGAGCAAACTGTTTAAAAATGTGAAGGAATTTCAACTTGATGCTTGGATATACAATAAAAGAAAGTATTTTACTATTTGATAAGAGAGAGTAGCCAAAGAATTTGATTAAGCTCTAATGAAAATGACTATGTCTGTGAGAATCATGAGTGAATAATTAAATATAAATAATTATTGATCTTCCTCAAAACACAGAAATGGTTATTAATAAAACCCAGTAAATAATCATATCCAAAACCAGAAAGCCATCATCACAGCTCGAATCTGGAGATTCTTTTTATCACTGGCATTGATTGGATTAGAAATTGAGTCATTACCTTCAAAATTCTCCGAATCCCAGTGACCATGTTCTAAACATTAAGGTGTTGCATGCAGCTTGAACCTGATGCCTTTTTTGCTTTTGAGTCCTAAGTTACTGGAATGATGAAATTACATATCAAATGCTGGGACATTAAAATTTAAACTTTACCTACAGATCAGTTGTGTAGCCTGTGGCTTGTGATTTTTGTAAAGTAGTTAATAGATGTGATGTGAAATTTGCTATGATAGTTTTTCCCCACACTTTGCCAGGAGGGATAAGTAACTATTTGTGTTCAGTGTTGAGTAGTTGCTCACCTAAGACCTTAGCCCTTAAGGCCTTGTATTAACCTCTTACCTGTAATATGGACATATTGAGTACAAAGTAATTTTTTGATTTTCTTAAACTAAAAATATACCTTGTAAGCTGGTAATTATGGCACTTCTCTTATTAATACACTGACTGCCACACAAGTTCTTATGAGTTTGGCATGTATATGCTACGTTTTGCAGTTCCCTTATTACTTTTCTCTCTGAAATCATCATTTGAAGAGCATGTTATACCTTTTAGCTTCACTTGGCTTAAAAGGGTTTTCTCATTAGTCTAAAACAATGCATTTCATGATACCACATTGGATCATAAATGGAAAAACAGCCAAGAAATTATTTAGTAGTACTTACTTGTAAGATGGATAATTCAGATGATGCTGACACTAAGAAATTGCCATACCTGGGCCCGTAGGCTCCTTTGACACTGCTGCATATAAGCTTTTCCTACTCAGGGGAAGGCAGTCTGTGACTGTGATCCATTTTTCTTAAGCAAAATATGCTAAAGTTTTGTGAGCATCTTTCCAGAGAGAAGACCGTATCTTCATCAGGTGAGAACATATAATGTATGCATATTTGGATATTTCAAGAATCATGTTTGCTTGCTTTTCTATGTTTTTATAAATAGAGAAACTTGCTCCTTAGTAACTTCTCTACCCCTAAAAGGTAGGAATTACTATTGGATATCATCATTGGCCCACACTTTTTGACCTTGGGAGATCAATTAAGGAGTTCATAATCTCAAGTCTGGCAGAAGTGGTACAAGAAATAGCTACATGTTTTTTAACAGGCCACTTGATAGGAAATAGGAGTGTGAAGCCCTTTAGGTGATGTGTGTCCCTTGATTTTCTGCAATTTCCTTCTTACTGTATTAAAAAAAAATATGATCTTGCCCTGAGAGGCAAGATCTTAACTGTGATCTTTAAAGATCAATAACATAATTCTTTAAAGGATTACACTGCTCTCCAACATCGAGATTACTGAATTTAGGCATAGCATGCAAAGAAAGCTAGTATTTTATGACTAATACCATATAGAAAATTCTGGTAGCTGAATATCAATAGTGTATTCTCACCACACCCCCGACCCATACCTGACCAAATTTCAATTAATAAACCAAATATGTTTATATAATATTAAATTAAAAAGTTTACTTGGTATTTTCATCTGCTTTTTACATATAGGGCCTTCCAGCTTACTAATGGCTATTCCTTATAATAGACTTCAGAAAATAAACATAGTTTACTCATTTCCATCCAGATTTTTCTAAATATCACACTCTCCTTTGGTCTAGAAATTTCCTGCCTTCTAGCATTTCATGGTCTGTTTTTGACATTTTCATCCTCAAAGGGGCAGAGTGTAGGTTCTGAATTCAGACTGCCTGGGTTTGAACCCTGTTTCTGCTGTTTACCAGCTATGCCCTTGAGTAAATTTCTTAACCTCTCTGAGCCTTTGTTTCCTCATCTATAAAATGTCAGTAACTATAGCAGTACCTCTGAGTTGTTGTGAGGAAGAAGAGTTAATATGAGTAAAGCCCTTAGCACAGTACCTGGCTGGCATTTTGGGCTCCATAAGTGAAGCTACTACTGTTATTTAATAATTTCTTTTATAAAATGATTATGCTTAGAATCAACCTAAATGCATTTTTTGTCATCTTTTTTCTTGTGTATCATTTTTGATGAAAATATATTCTATTTGCAGGATAGGATAACCTGAAAAATATTCTCTCTCTCTCTATACACACACACACACACACACAGAGCACACACACAGAGCTCTGTTAAAACCATAGCCATGTCTTGTTTATTTGCTGAACATTCCTGGTTATCAAATTTTATTCAGATTTATTTTCCCAGCCTTACACAGAAATAGGTAGATCTAAATTTTCCTTTTTAGCCCTATATGCTCCATTAAATGATTGAATTTAGACCATAATTATGTTTTCAAGAATATAAGTTATAATAATACTTGAATTTACTTTTTGTCAGAGTGAGAAGTGAAAAATGAAACGTTTGACATGTTGCTTTGTTGCCTATTTTTAGTAGAGCTGTAACAGTTTGGAAATAATGACAAAAATGCAAATGCCCAAAATAAAACCATTAGTATTTCTATGCTTTTATGTTGCTTTGAGTTGTTGATTTGTAATAAACGGTTCTTCAATTGCATATTTGTGTTAAAAATATCTTTTTAGGAAATATTTCCATTTCATGTTGGAATATAACTTGCAGTTGGGATTTTCAGTAAACTAAGAAATACACTTGTAAACCATAAAAATACATTCTGCTTCAGCAGTGAAAATTTTAATTTAATGTTTAACTGCCAGTTTGGAAAATGAAATCATGCAATTATAAACATTCCACAAATTTTTAATAAAGATTGTTGATTGCCTTTCTTGCCTGTAAGAGGGAAGAAATTTTGGAGACATATAATACAGAACTCTGTTGTTTATGCAGGCCAATTCATGAAGTCTTTTAACAATTGGCTCTTTATTTTTGTTTTCAATTTATTACAGAGTTTGGTTTTGTTGTTTTGGACTGTCTCAACCCCTTGCTAATGCCACCGTACAGAATCAGATCATGTTACTAACTTGTTTACTTCAGCAGCAACCTAATTTGATTTTATTACAAGAATATAGAGCATTATGGATTTCCAACCAGTTTTTAAAGTATAGATGGTCTTCAAATGATTGTTTTTAAGGTTTTTAGTTTTGTTTTTAGATTCTTATAGTTAGAAGTAGGCTAGAACATGTACAAGAATATTAATAGGGGTAAGGAAAAATAACTTTTGCTTAGAAGAGAAAGGAATGTTTAAGGCAGTCAGGCAGTTGGACCTGTTAGTGCCATGCTCAATAATATATAGTAGGTCATAATGCTTTAGGGAGCATTTCTGAATTGGCACTGCCATGAAAATGAAATTTAAAGTGTCAAACGAAGTCTGTAGCTGAAATAATGTATGTTTTATTTTTTACCTCTACATATTTGTAAAGACTTTCATGGTAAAACAACAATAAAAAACCATTTACCTAGAGATGCTCCAATTCGTTTGATGTTAAAGTCATGCAGTAGTCATTGCGATGATTTTTAAAATACAGTTGAACACCAGGGAAAATGGAACAAGTCTGGGATGCCCCCCTTCCACACGTGAAAGCGCAAGTACACACACACACACACACACACACACACACACACACACGGCCTACAACACAGATCACATAATGTTTGTCAATTGTCAAGATGGAAGCCTACTACCCCCCTTGCTCTCAGGTCTTACCACATAACTTTTTCTACAGTTATACTTAAGCACTTCAGACAAGTGTCAGCAAAAATCATCCTTGGGGCTCTTATTTCCAGCGTATTTTGGCTGGACTGTCATCCATGTTAGGAAGGGAATGTGTAGCACGAGCCGTGCATTTTACGATACATCTCAGCAACCACGTCTCACCGGTAACCTTTGACGCACAGTACGCAGCTGTTCTCATTTTGTAAGTGCAGCCGGCAAGGTCTGGGAGGGTGACTGCGCGCAGCCGCACGACGCCAGGCTCCGGTGCAGGTACGAGGCATGACGTCACAGGTGGTGCCGGGCGGGGGCTCCGCGGGCTCCGGGCGTGGGCCGGGCCGGAAGCGGCGCGGCGCGAGGCCCCGCCCGGCCAGCGGGCAGTGGCGCTTCTGGGGCAGCAGTCGGCCGGCTGCCGGGCGCGGGACGGCCCCGCCCCTCTCGGCCACCAAGTCGCTCTCACCGTGACTGGGCGCGGCGCGGCGCGAGGCGGGCGCTGCCGGTGAGTCCCACTTCCCGGTAGCCGCGCTCGGCCAGCGACTGGGCGGGGAGGTGGAGGATGGCAGTGAGCTCACCGGCCATTGCCCTCTGTCTTGCCAGCGCCAGCAGCCCTGTGGCGGCGCCCACGATGGACCCGGAGCCAGTGGGCCGTGTGGAAGGAGGAGAAGTCTCAGCGTCGGGAGCTGCGGCCGCTGCGCCATTCAGGGAACCGCCGCGGCAGGTAGGGGGGCCGCCTAGGGAGACCAGGAGAGCCAAGCCGCCTCCTTTCCTGGTCCGCGGGCTGCCCTTTTGGCCTGCCCGGCCTTCCTCCGAGCAGGCCGCCCGCCGGACGTGGGTTTCGGGGTTCCTCCTCACCGCACCCCTGACTCTGCTCGGTGAAACCGGCTTGTGGGAAGGAGCGGGCGCCGCTCCCAGCGGAGGCGCCCCGAGCTCACCAGCCCCTTCGCCGGCCGCGCCGCAGTCCCTGGGGCGCCCTCGGTTTCGGGGATGATATTCCAGCTTCTGTTCTGCAAGCGCGAGAAGGGAGGCATGCCTCCCAAAGGCTGTCCTTAGAGTAGCTGGAAGCCTAGTGACGGTGGCGTCAGCTGCTTTTGAGTCTCTTCTAGTGCAAGCGCCTGCCTTGGCAACTATATGCTAAGTGTTTACAGGTCTTAATTCGCTCGATCCTTATGATAACCGCTCGAGTGGGCGTTATCTCCATTTCACCTAGGAGGTAACTAAGGTTCAGAGCTGTGCTGTCCAACAGAAATAAAATGCAAGCCTCATTGAAAATTTTGGAAATTTTCAAATGATGGAAAAATTTCCAGTAGCCACGTCAAAAAGGAAAAAGTAACCGGTGATATTAATTTTAATATCGTGTATTATTTAACCTAATTTATCAAAAACATTTCAACCTATACTTAATTTGAAAGTTATTAATGAAATATTTTGCATTCTCCTTTTTGAGTCTTTTCTAAGTCTTTGAAATCCTGTGTATATTTTACACGCAGCAAACCTCAGGTCCTACTGGCCACATTTCAAGTGTGCATTGGCCGCATGTGGCTAGTGGTTACTGTATTGGACAGTGCTGGTTTAGAGAGTTAGGTACAGTTTGGAGATTTGTTTTGGGAATGGTAGTCTGAATTAGTAGTTTAGGACCTTGACCAAGTAAAACTAATGAAGACATTGCTTTAACTCAAACTGGCTCAGGAGTATTCAATTTTGGCTGTTAAAAACCTGGAGTTGCTGATGGGTAGTAATCCTCTAGTCCTCCGTGAGAATGAAGCTTTTTCAGTAGCTTCATTTTTGAGACTAAGTATCTGAATGTTAGTAAAACACTTCCCTCAAACTGTGAGTATAGTTTTATAGTGTAAGATGTAGTGTGCATAAACAAAAACTTTTCCACATACTAGTTTCTATGGAATTTCTTGTTTTTTCTTCTGTGTTAGGAAGAGGAGGATAACAAGCAAGAAGGAATTCAGGGAAGAACACTAATTGATTAGGGAGCCACTTAATTTTTAGTTGAGACCTGTTGACAGGTACACTTGAACTTAACCTTTGAGTCCACAATGCTTGATGTGCTTTTTCATTTGATTTTTACCTTTTTTGTTACTACAATTTTTTTTTTATCATTACTTCAACTTTGAATCTTTCTAATAGCAAAGTATACATACCTGTGTGATATAGCAGATATTTGTTGTTTAAAGACAGGCTCTTTGTTTTGGTATTATGTTGTTTTTATATTCTTGGTTAAAAAATAAATATTTAAACAGTAAAGCAGGCTGTAGAGTGAAAGGTAAAAATTCTCAGGAATGTCCACCACCCTTTCCTCACATTCTCATTCCCCAAAAGTAACTATTAGTTTTGGTCTAGTCTCTCTGGATTTTTCTGTGCAAATACTACCTTTTCTTTCTCGTTAAACACAAATGAGTTTGTACTATGCAAACTGTTTTCTAATTTGTCCTTTTTGCTTTCTCATTTACATTTCTAAAGCAGAAACATCTCTGGGAACTGGAGATCTATGCCCAGGGGTTTAAGCACATTAAGAGGGAAAAGCGCAGTGCAGTTGGAGATCTGGGTGGAGGGAGAGGCTGTCATCTTATACTCCTTCCCAAGTTTGGCAAAACTGAGAAATTCCAAGTGCCACGTAGGGAAGGGAGAAGAGATAGGAGATTGGGTCTAGAATTAGGCCTCTAACCAGGCCATCCAGTACCTCTTGTGATGTTCTATTCAGCAGCTTCTCTGAATAGACTTTTAACCAGAATCTTAGCCTTAATATTATTAAAGGAGTTAAAATTTCAGTACTGTTTATGTATTTAGCACTTCTACTGTAGAGGCCAAAGCAACTCCATCTTGGATGCTAATTGGCTGTATTAACTTCTGATTAACCCTTGTTTTGGGAATGTCTCTAAGATTTCTACTTTATCTACTGTTACTAATTTATCTACTTTTGAATTTACTTTATCTACTGTTAAATTGTTAAATCCTGCCCTTAGGCAGATTTACATTGCATTCTTTCCTTTCCCCTAGTGGTCACTTCAATTGTCCTACCCATTCCTTCTCTTTTGTATATAAACCCTGAGTCTGGTGGATAATGGCCCTGGGATCCACACTCTCAAGTCTACCAGAATGTGGCTTCTGTTCATAATCCCTATTAAATGTTTTTTTCTGAGAAACTGGATTTGCCAGCTCCTTTCTTTGGCCTCTTAGCTGCCTCTGACTTTGCAGTTAGGTTTGCATAGATCTGCTCACCCCGAACTGTAGGCTAAAGGATATAGAAGTGCCTACCTCCAAGCTGCTAACAACCTACTTGGGGAAGGTAGTACAGAATAAATTCCAAGTGTAGCACCTGCTTTAAATAAGTTCTGGCTGCTATGGGAGTATATAAAAAGAAAATTGCCATTAAAAACAGGTCCTGAGAAACAGATTTATAGTTTGATTAACCATAAAATGTAGTGAAATGTTAATTGACATTGTATCTCATAATTTCCCGCTGTTATCAAACTATCTTTTCTGCTCTTTGGAGTTTGTTAAATGGTAAAATATATATAATCGACAGTGAAAATTTTCTTACTCGTAAAAATGAAACATTTGGAAAGTTCAGAATAACTTTTATTTATAATTACTGGAAATTTTGTACCACATTATTTTCTGGTTGGTCTTACCCGTCAATGCTTGCCTTCCCTGGGTTGGAATCACATGTCAAATGAGTTGACTATTTCAAATCTGAAATGTTTCACAGTGTGAAACTTTTTTTTTTTTTTTTTTTTTTTTGAGACAGTCTCACTCTGTTGCCCAGGCTAGAGTGAGCACCATGGTGTCAGCCTAGCTCAAAGCAACCTCAAAACTCCTGGGCTCAAGCAATCCTACTGCCTCAGCCTTTCTAGTAGCTGGGACTACAGGCATCCCACAAGAGACGAGATGGCAGGTCGGCCGCTGCCGGGCGCGGGGACCCGGCCCTCTCGGCCACCAAGTCCTGCTCTCACGTGACTGGGCGCGCGCGCTGCCGGTGAGTCCACTCTCCGGTAGCCGCCGCTCCGCAGCGCTGGGCGGGGAGGTGGAGGATGGCAGTGAGCTCACCGGCCATTGCCTCCCTGTCTTGCCAGCGCCAGCAGCCCTGTGGCGGGCCCACGATGGACCCGGAGCCGTGGCCGTGTGGAAGGAGGAGAAGTCTCAGCGTCGGGAGCTCGGCCGCTGCGCCTTCAGGGAAGCCGCGGCGGGTAGGGGCCGCCTAGGGAGACCCAGGAGACCAGCCGCCTCCTTTCCTGGTCCCGGGCTGCCCTTTTGGCTGCCGGCTTCCTCCGAGCAGGCCGCCGCCGGACGTGGGTTTCGGGGTTCCTCCTCACCGCACCCCTGACTCTGCTCGGTGAAACCGGCTTGTGGGAAGGAGCGGCGCCGCTCCCAGCGGAGGCGCCCGAGCTCACCAGCCCCTTCGCCGGCCGCGCCGCAGCCTGGGGCGCCTCGGTTTCGGGATGATATTCCAGCTCTGTTCTGCAGCGCGAGAAGGGAGGCATGCCTCCCAAAGGCTGTCCTTAGAGTAGCTGGAAGCCTAGTGACGGTGGCGTCAGCTGCTTTTGAGTCTCTTCTAGTGCAAGCGCCTGCCTTGGCAACTATATGCTAAGTGTTTACAGGTCATTAATTCGCTCGATCTTATGAACCGCTCGAGTGGGCGTTATCTCCATTTCACCTAGGAGGTAACTAAGGTTCAGAGCTGTGCTGTCCAACAGAAATAAAATGCAAGCCTCATTGAAAATTTTGGAAATTCAAATGATGGAAAAATTTCCAGTAGCCACGTCAAAAAGGAAAAAGTAACCGGTGATATTAATTTTAATATCGGTGTATATTTAACCTAATTTATCAAAAACATTTCAACCTATACTTAATTTGAAAGTTATTAATGAAATATTTTGCATTCTCCTTTTTGAGTCTTTCTAAGTCTTTGAAATCCTGTGTATATTTACACCCAGCAAATCAGGTCCTACTGGCCACATTTCAAGTGTGCATTGCCGCATGTGGCTAGTGGTTACGTGTATTGGACAGTGCTGTTAGAGAGTTAGGTACGTTTGGAGATTTGTTTTGGGAATGGTAGTCTGAATAGTAGTTGGACCTTGACCAAGTAAAACTAATGAAGACATTGCTTTACTCAAACTGGCTCAGGAGTATTCAATTTTGGCTGTAAAAACTGGAGTTCTGATGGGTAGTAATCCTCTAGTCCTCCGTGAGAATGAGCTTTTTCAGTAGCTCATTTTGAGACTAAGTTCTGATGATAGTAAACAATTCCTCAAACTGTGAGTATAGTTTTATAGTGTAAGATGTAGTGTGCATAACAAAAACTTTTCCACATACAGTTTCTATGGAATTTCTTGTTTTCTTCTGTGTTAGGAAGAGGAGGATAACAACAAGCAAGAAGGAATTCAGGAAGAACACTAATTGATTAGGGAGCCACTTAATTTTTAGTTGAGACTTGTTGACAGGTACACTTGAACTTAACCTTTGAGTCCACAATGCTTGATGTGCTTTTTCATTTGTTTTACCTTTTTTTTTACTACAATTTTTTTTATCATTACTTCAACTTTGAATCTTCTAATAGCAAAGTATACATACCTGTGTATATAGCAGATATTGGTTTAAAAGGCTCTTTGTTTTGGTATTATGTTGTTTTTATATTCTTGGTTAAAAATAAATATTTAAACAGTAAAGCAGGCTGTAGAGTGAAAGGTAAAATTCTCAGGAATGTCACCA